ACTAGCTCTGAAGATGCAATTTTTGTACTCACTTCTCATTGCTTGTTAGGTAACAACTTAAACGCAGTGATGCAGATACTGCAGCTGAAAGCCCCTTGGGGGTGCTTTAAGCCCAGAGGTTGGTGGGGTCCCTTGAAAACACAGGTGAGGAAAACATCCTGAATAGCATGAAAACCTATGTTGTCATCTGAGGGCCTATTTGGGTCTCTGTCCACGGGAATACAAGTCGGATAAGGTGAGGAGCTAGTGAGGAGCCCCAGCCTATCAATAGGAAGGAAAGGACCCCTAGAACGAGTGAGGATGAGAGTTTGAATGATGGCCCCAGACAACCAGAGCCTGGCACTATCCATGGTTGGCAGGAGCTGTGCAGGAGGCTCTGGAAATTCCAGGCTGGGAGTGGACTGACAGGCATGCTCCCTAAGGATGCCCCTCACTTCAGAGGAGGGGTAGAGGACCACTAACTAACACTTCCTCCTCCTGAGTCCACTGGGCTATGTTCTTTGTCACCTAGACAGCAGAGACCCTGGAGGCCTGCTGACAGGTAGGAGTCTACTCCGAGGAGAGCAACTCCCCAGGCCTCCTGGCTGGGTAGGGCTAATTACCCCCACAGGTACCAGGGGCATGCGGAGCTACATCTATGGAAAACCACAGCTCTTATGGCTTTTGCAAAAACAAAAACAAAAAGCAAACATCCTTCTCTTCTTTCTGAGTTGAGCTTAGGGCAGGCCACAAGCAAGTAGCACCTGTGTACATGGTAAAGACATGGCATGTTGTTGTTGTTAGGTGCTGTTGAGATGAATAGGACCCATGACAACCCTATGAACAATAGGTATGAATGCTGTCCTATCCTGTGCCATCTTCATACTTCCTGACACTTTAGAGCCCATTGTGGCAGTCAGTGCCAATCTACCTGTTCAAGGGTCTTCCTCTCCTTTGCTGACCCTCTGCCTTTATGAACATCATGTCTCTCTCCAAGGAATAGCCCCTCCTAACAACATGCCCAAAGTATGTGAGATGAAACTCATCATCTTTTCCTCCAAAGAGAATTCTGACTGCACCCTCTCCAAGACATATTTGTTCTTGTGGCAGTCCAGGTGTTCAGCATTCTTCTCCAGCACCATAGCTCAAAGGAACCAATCCTTCTGTCATCCTTATTAATTGTCCCGCTCTTGGATGCATAGCAAGTGATTGGAAAGACCATGGCTTGATTCAGACACACTCAAACTGACAGCCCTTAAACTGATGTCATTACTCCTCAATAATTTGGGGAGTTTTCTGCAGACTTTCCCAGTGCAGTACATCTCCTGATTTCCTGACTGCTGGCACCAAGGGTGTTAACTGTGGATCCAAGTAAGATGAAGCTGTTGACAGTTTAAATCTTTTCTCCATCTATCATGATGTTGGCTATAGATCCAGTGGTAAGAATCTTTGTTTCCTTGACATTGAAATGCAATCCATATTGAAGGTTGTATTCTTTGATTTTTCTGCAAGAAGTGCTTCAAATCTTCCTCACTTTCAGCAAGTAAGCTTGAGTTATCTGCATAATGCAGGTTATCGATGAATCTCTCTCTGATCCTGATGCCACATTTCTCTTCATAGAGTCCAGGTTCTCGAATAATTTGCTCAGCATACAGATTGAATAGGTAAGGAGAGAGACTGCAACCCTGAAAAACTACCTTCTTAATTTTTTAAACCCTATAGTGTTCCCCTGTCTGTTGGCACAACAGCCACCTAGGCATAGGTTTTGCATGAGTACAATTAAGTTGTTGTTGTTGTTATGTGCCGTCGAGTTGCCTGTGACTCATAGTGACCCTATGTACAACAGCCCTAAACTCCGCTCTGTTCTGTGCCAATTGCACCGTCTTTGACACTCCCATCCCAATTATCCCAGTCACTGAATCAATCAAGGCCCCAAGAGAGGGCCTTCCTCTCCTGCGCTGTCCCTCCAACCTCCCAAGCATGATGTCCCTCTCCAAGGACCGGTCTCTCCTCACAACATGTCCAAAGTATGTTAGACGGAGCCTCAGAATCCTTGCCTCCAAGGAGCCACCCGGTTTAACCCTTTCCAGGACAAATCTGTTTGTTTTCCTAGCAGTCCATGGTATTCTCAATACTCTTCTCCAGCACCACAGCTCAAAGGCATCAATTCTCCTTCTATCCTCCTTGGTCATTGTCCAACTCTCTGATGCATAGCAAGTGATTGGGAAGACCAAAGCCTGTATCAGACGCACCTTAGTCTCCAGAGAGACACCATTGCTCTTCAGTACTTTGGAGAGGTCCCTAACAGCAGACTTTCCCATGGCAATGAGCCTTTTAATTTCCTGGCTGCTGGTGCCAAGACTGTTGACTATGGAGCCAAGTAAACTAAAGCTGTGTACAATCTCAATCTCTTCACCATCCATCCTGATGCTGCCAGTTGGTCCAGTGGTGAGAATCTTTGTCTTCTTGACATTGAGCCTCAATCCATATTGTAGGCTGCAGTCCTTGACACTCTGCAGCAGGCGCTTCAGGTCCTCTTCAGTTTCAGCAAGCAGGGTTGTGTCATCCGCATAACGCAGGTTGTTGATAAATCGTCCACCCATCTTGACCCCACATTTCTCCTCATAGAGCCCAGCCTCCCAGATAATCTGTTCTGCATATAGGTTGAAAAGGTATGGAGACAGGATGAATCCCTGGCGTACGCCCTTCCCAATTTTGAGCCATGCAGTGTTCCCTTGCTCTGTTCTGACGACTGCCTCCTGGTCCAAGTATAAGTTTCGCATTAGAACGATCAAGTGTTCTGGGATTCCCATTCTTCTCAGAGTCAGCCATAGTTTGTTATGATCTACACAGTCAAATGCCTTTGCATAGTCAATGAAACACAGATAGACATTCCTCTGGTATTCCCTGCTTTCAGCCAAGATCCATCTAATATCAGCTACAATATCTCTAGTACCGCGACCCCTTCTAAACCCAGCCTGGACTTCTGGTAGTTCTCTGTTGATGTGCTGTTCCAGTCGTTTTTGGATAATTTTCAGTAAAATCTTGCTTGCATGTGAAATCAGTGAGATTGTTCTGTAGTTTCCACATTCTGTTGAGTCACCTTTCTTTGGGATAGGAACAAATATAGATCTCTTCCAGTCAGTTGGCCAAGTGGTTGTTCTCCAGATTTCTTGGCACAACTTGGTGAGCACGTCCAGGGCAGTATCTGTAACTGAAATATGTCAATTGGTATACCATCTATTCCTGGAGCCTTATTTTTTGCCATTTCCAGACTCTCACAACCTCTTATGTTAGTAAAAAATAAAAATCATTGCTGTCAAGTCAGAAATGCCTTTTAGCTGACCCTCTATCAAGTTTTCAGACATTGTAAATCATACGTGAGGAGATTGCTCATGTATCTTTCTCCCTAGGAACAGCTGATGGATTCGTACCCCAAAGACTTGTAACTAGCAGCACAGCTATCTCAAGAATATGCCAGAAGAAAACCAGAGTTTCCAGATTAGAAGGATTACTACTATCCTACTCCCACTTTTGTTATGTGCTGTTAAACCAGTCTCAACCCATAATAGTGACGCTATAGAACCAGCCCATAGCTGATTCTCTATCAAGTTTTCAGAGTTAGTAAATTGCACGGGAAGAGATTGCCAATCTTTCTCCAGCAGAGCAAATGGTGGATTTGAACCATGTACCTTTGTGTTGGCAACACAATTCCTTATCATAAGCCACCAGAGCTCCTTATATTGATGCTACAGAGATTAAAACTGCCTCTAGGGTTTGCCAAGCTGTGATCTTTATGGAAGTAGATCATCAGGCTTTGAACAGCTGATCTTCTGGTGAGTGATCAAGCACTTAACCCATGGGTCATCAGAACCCTTAACCTAACCTTTAAACGCTAAGAAATAGAGGATTGTGTAGCTAAGTCAGTTGCCAAGTTCCAAGGTAGGACGTGGTGGAACTAGAACATGGATCCATGCAAACTCTACACTAGATGTGCACAGTCCTGAAGCTGACCCTGTCACACAGGAAGGAAGGCAGCCAGGACCATCATAATGAAGATGGGGAGGGGGAGCTTCTTATCCCAGGCATTTCAACAAGTCCCAGTAGCTTAGCTCAGAGAGCTGTAAATGTAAGACAAAAAGCAGTAGATGGAAGGCCAGGAGAAAATACCAGAAAGTGGGGTCCCTGGAGGTCTTCTGACTCCACCTCATAGTTTGGGATGATCAGCTCTGAGCGGATAGGAGACATCCCAGCCTGAGTCCTTAGCCCTACTCGCCAGAGTGACACTATCAGAGGTCACTGGGATCTCTGGATTATTTCAGGTCAGTTTGGAACTGCTGACATTTTATCTGATGTATTTCCCATAATTAGGAAAATTAAATGGGTTTGTAAAATGGGTTCAAGTTTATTGAAGCTTACTTTTACATAGCCATGATTTATGAGACCACAGAGAGTCTATAGTCTGAGTCTTCTAAGAAGTTATTCTTCTTCAACAAAGTACAGGCTCCTGTGAGAAGCTGCTTGGAGAGTATTGTGGCAGTGTGCAAAGAGTGCTATTTGTAAACGTGAGGCAAAGGAAAAATAACTCCGTAAACTTTCAGATGGACACAGAGATAGCTTCTCATTAGACAGGTTCTGGAAGTCATAGCCCAAAGTCTTCAAGAAACATCAGCTGCCGTCTCCATCCTCAAAGTCTCTGTCCTAGGCCTGCTGAGGAGTCCTCTCTGCTGTCTGTGCTGCCGGCATGCTTGTATCTCTAACCCGATACCTTGGTCTTGCGCTGTGGATCCAGGTGTTTGCGTAATCTCCAAAAGTTCAAACCATCTAGATCACACCACCAGCTCGCCTTCAGGACCCTCACAGTCCCTCCCCAAGATCTATCACTTTCTGACTCTTCATTATTTTACCACCTTGAACCTCTTAAACGTGCCTGTTCCTTTGACTTTCCAATTTCTGCACATACTTTCGAGGCCACACGTGGATGGCCCCTCTCTAAGGCCTGCCACTAACAAAGCCCAGGGATGCTGCACTGGGGTCACCTGAGGACAGCCCCTAGGGTAGAGTGGGCCGCAGGTTCTAGTGCAACCGACAGGCCGCCGCCCTGCGGTGTCTTCAGGGGCTATAGTCACTTTAACGCCACCCTACCAACCACTCCCGCCCCGGGGCCCAGCACTGAGCTGCCCCGCCGCGTCGACCCAGGAAAGCGCATGCGCGGGCGCCTGCCGCCGTTTCCCGGCTACCTCGCGGCTGGCGCGTGGACACGCGTCGTCGCGAGTTGGCGGGAGCGCGCGCAGTGGGTGCAGGGGGCTGAGTGAGGAGCGGGG